AATAGTGAACAGTACTCACTGAACCAGTGCAGGATGCTTCCCCTGAGAACAGGACCCTTCCCCCCAGAACAGGTCCCAGGACATGGGGCACCTCTGCTGTCCTTTGGTATGGAAGCAGCAGCCTCCTTTCCTTCCCAGGCATGTCTCACCTGAGTACTCTGTGCTGGGCTCTGGGCTGGGTATGGGGATGGAGTAAACAGGCAACACATAGAAGAAAAACCGAGGACAAAGCTTTGAGGCCTCCGGTGGAGGGGCCATCAAAGTAGAGCTGGGAAGTTCAAGTTGGAGTCAACCATTTCATTTGTTTTCTTAATTTATCATTCCCTTTCTTGCTTTTCCTTCTCTCCCACCCAAGGTGGTAGGTATAAGGTGTTAGGTATTAGTGAAGAATCTTGTTCCATATTTCACTGATGGTCAGTACTGGCAATTATTGTGGAGGCATGAGTTTTAGGTGGAACAGTGTCATGGACCCACAGAAAAACAAGGGCTGGCTCCAGTGTGGTAAAGGAAAATGTCTTAAAAACCTTGAAAAGAAATTTAGCTGGGCATGGTGGCACATACCTGTTATCCCAGTACCTTGGGAGGCTGAGGCAGGAGGATCACAAGTTGGAGGCCAGCTTCAGCAATTTAGTGAGGCCCTAAGCAACTTAGTGAAAACTGACTCTCAACAAACAAACAAATAAATAAATAAGGGGGATTGGGGGTGTGGCTCAGTGGTAAACCACCCCTGGGTTCAGTCCCTAGTCCTCCCTACCACCTCCCAAAAAGAAGAAGAAATTTAAGCAGGATGAGCTTGAGCAGAATGTACAGAGGAACAGTAGAAGGAGGTTAGGTGAGAAGCACGTCATACAGGTTAAGATATGGTGTGTTCTGGGACACAGCAGGAAAGCAGTTTTGTTTTTGAAATTGAAAAGATAAAATGAGACAACCAAATATGAAAATTTTTTCTTTTTCTTTTTAAAATAGCAAACAAATGTTTCAGAAGACAGCGATGATGATGATGCAGATGAAGATGAAATTTTTGGTTTCATAAGCCTTTTAAATTTAACTGAAAGAAAGGTTAGTTTCACCGGGTCACATCTGAATGGTTGTTCCTTAGGCCAAAACCACTTTGACTTCATGCATGGTAGAAGTCAGACAGTGATATTCAGCTGTAAGGATATGTGCTCTCTCAGAGTCTTACTGAATCCTTTCAATATGAAGGTGTTGTTTTATTTCTGAATACCCAGATGAAGTCGTGTACTCCCTGTGCTACAGTGTCTGACATTGGTACTGGCACAGAGTTCTGCTGTGTCTGCAGCTGGTCTCTTTGCTGTTTGTGCAGTGTGGCTGTTCTGAGGCTTTGCTGCTTCCAAAGTTGAGGGCACTTACTGACATTTACTTGTTTTGATTCATCTCCTTTTGTTGACTCATGATGAATTCTAATGGAAATTATGCCAGCTGCTTACTCTCTGGAGAATAAGGCCACACTTAATAATCTTTAATTTTTAAAATGAACTTTTCAGTTATTTCCACTTGTTTTTGTGAACAGATATAACTTCTTTGTGGATGAGTATTAATTATAATTCTGACCACTAGTCATGGATTGATAACCTAAGCAGATATAATTACTTTTCTTTCTTTCTTTGTTTTTTATTTTGTAATAAATAGTTAAAATTTTTTCCACATTTTTATTGGTGCATTATAGTTGTATGTAATGATGGGATTTGTGTTACATTTTCAGTCATGCACACAATATAATTTGGCTAGTATCACTCCTTAGCATCTCCCTCCTCTCCCTACCTCCCTCCTCTGCCTACTTCCCAACCCCTGGATGTACAGTTACTTCAAAAGTAAGATGCAGCAGATATTAGAAGCTATAGCAGGAAACGCCCCTTGGACCTATGGGATAAAAAGCCATAGCTCTTGCTCTCAAGTTTTCTCCTGTAAGCAATGGCCTGTAATAAAAAGCAAGTCTTGTCTTTGCTTTCTAGGGTACCCAGTGTGCTGAACAAATTAAAGAGTTGGTTCTAAGCTTCTGTGAGAAGAACTGTGAAAAGAGTGTGGTTGAACAGCTGGACAAGCTTTTAAATGACACCACCAAGCCTGTGGGCTTTCTCCTAAGTGAAAGATTCATTAATGTCCCTCCTCAGATTGCTCTGCCCATGCACCAGCAGCTTCAGTAAGAGACTCCTGAAAATACCTTCAAACAGTAGCTTGTTTGTTTTTTCCCCAAGTAGACTCAGAAATGTGATTTAAGTGGAATATGTAGGTACAGAAAGAGCCCTGGCCTGGGTTGAAACAAGTGTAGTGTGGGGAGGATGGAAGAAAGAGTCTAATAGCTGGCTTTTTGAAGAATTTGGATTATTTGTGACAGTAATTTTCATATTTTTTAAGATTTTAAATGGAATAAGGTGAATGAATTTCCTTTAGACTTTTTATCCCATTTGCATGACATTTTCCTCCTAAAAGATTTCTGTAACATGAATAAATGCTGAATAATGACAGCAATAACCAAAATGAAGTGAAGTTCCTAGTTTCTGTTGGTCTGTTTCTTACCTAATTGAAGCATAGTTCTGTTACTGAATCTTGCTTCTCAGCATTTTTGTTGTTTTTGTTTGATGCAGAAGTTTTAAGCTACAAATATGTTAATCTCAGAACTGTAAAATCTTGCACACTAATGAACTAGGCATTGTGGCCTGTGCTTTGAAATAAACGATGGAATACAGACAGGTCCTTTATAGAGTATTGCCTCCGCTGGCAGCACTTGTGTTGTTTTCCAATAATAGCTGTAGGACTGAAACTACACTCCGCAAACTTTGTTTGCCATTTTTGCTTCTTGTTTCAGTGTTTTTTAGTTTTATATCCACTCTTCTATTCTCTACCTTCTCAGCTGCTACTCAGATTATACTTCTTTTGTCAATGGTTTTTGTTGATCGAGTTTTGCTTTTTCTAAGCAGTTGCAGCTCATGTTTGTTTTCACAGGAGAGTGATCTGCTCTTTTGATTTTCTATTAGATATGACTTGGGTTGTTTTTTAATCTACACCTTTGTTCAGGGGTAGCCAGATGCATAGAGCTGTGTAATTTTTAGGAGGAAAAAATGATTTCATTACATTTCATTAACTGCTCTAGAATTTAGGATCTCCATGTCCATGAAGCTTCTGCTGTGTCAAAAATTAGTCCCAAACTCTAGTGATTAGAGACTGTATAGTCATCATATGCTATAGTGATGTTGGTCATGTCTCTTTATAAGTTACATAGTTATTGCTTTTAAAGTTCAGATTCTTAGATATTTTAAGTTTGCACAGAGTAGCAGTACTGAGTGAATTTATGATTCATTTACACAAACTTGGATTCATCACATTATTATAAAGTGGTGGCATGATTATTCTAAAGTGTAGTTGACTGCATAGATAAAAATCACTGCTTTAGGAGTGGGGCCTCGGTGCTCTGGTTTGTGGACAGATTTAACCTGTGTCACCAACTAAACGTTGTGTGTGTGTGTGTCTTTTAGGAAAGAACTAGTAGAGTCACACAAAACTAATAAGCCATGTGGGAAGTGCTCTTTCTACCTTCTGATTAGTAAGACATTTGTGGAAGCAGGAAAATCCAATTCCAAAAAGAAATGGAGCAACCAGAAGGATGAATTAATGTTTGTAAATGCAGAGGAAGAGTTTTTTTATGAGGTAAGTAAGACTGTCTTATGAGGTAAGTAAGACTGTCTGATCTATTTGGATGTTTGATCATCAAGATTTTTTGTTCTTCCATGTTAGGTCAAAGTCCTTTAGGTATGGCCAGTCCATTTTTCTGTGTGGCCACTGACTAGCCACTAACAAATAACCTGGCACACAGTCGGTACTCAGAAGGCTCACCACCACCTTCCAGCCCATGGTAGTGACAGAGTATTTGGGAGGAGGAAAACGTGATGACTTGTTCTACCTGATCAGGCTTATTCTGAGGTCTTAATTCTAAAACCGTGTCATGAGGTAGACAGGATCTGCTTTGCAGGTAGGATGTTGGGTGTAGGGAGATGTGGGAACTTACCTGAGAAGTATACAGGAAGTATACAGTAAAGATAATCTTTAAAAAATGTGTGCCTCATACCTCTGACCATTTCAGGGTCGTGTGTGGGTGTTTCAAGGTTGGTTGTGCATATTGAATCTGTTCATAAAATGGCCTTATGCTAAGGAGTGGCAGAGGGAGTACGGAAAGACCAGCATTTGAAGATGACTCTTCTTGTGGCTGTCAAATGTTAAGAGTCTTAATCTCACTTACCTGCACAAGATTACTTTGAGAATTAAATGAGATGAATGAGATTGACTTTGGAATGAGAAACAGTTCACAAATGGATAAAAGTACAATTATCACTTAGCTGCCTGTTTACCTCTTAAAAATGGCATACCTCAGTCCCTGTTCCCAAATCTATTTGGAGAGTGTTTCATAATTTCTGCCTCAGTGTCCCATCAGAGCATATTTTATTCTGAGTTTTGCTTCCTTTAGCTGTCATTCTTACTCAAATATATGCCAAACATACTATTCTTTATTGTAGATTGAATGAATTTTGCCTTTGGTTTGTCCACATTTTTAATTCTTGGTTACTTTTTGCTGTAGAAGGCAGTCCTGAAGTTCAACTACTCAGTGCAAGAGGAGAGCGACACTTGCCTGGGAGGCAGGTGGTCTTTTGATGATATACCAATGAAGCCCTTGCGAACTGTGATGTTAATTCCAGACAGCAAGATGAGTGAAATTATGGATAAACTGAAATATCATCTATCTATCTAGTCCATTTTTCATGGACATTGATGGGCTTATTTTTGTAAAATTACCAGAAAACCCAGTGGAGATTTACTGAAAAACTCATGACTTTATTCATATTTAAGTCCTCTACAAAAGTAGGGTTCTTTTCCATGTGTCTATGACACATTCACAAAATATCTTTTTTTTTTTTTTTGGTCAAATTATGAATGGCTGATTAAAAACTTCCACCAAGAAGAAAAACATGGAGTAGTAATTTGAAGAATTCAATAAAACTCCTATTTTTTATTTTAAAATAATATACAAAGTGTTATTTTTTCAAGACTATCCTGTGGGGTGGGGCATCCATCCTCATGTTAAGCATTCATATGTGGCTTTAGTGGGCCCACTGTGGGCTCACTCTGGGATCATTATTGCACTTTGTTTGGCGGGCAAGTCACTGAAGAGTGCATCTCTGCTCAGTAGTCTCAGGGCACTTTTCACACATTTTCTGTTCCTTCTTTATAGTTGAAATGGGGGACAGGTGATCCACAACTTGCTGTAGAATATCCTTACTTTCACTAGGAGGCAGATTAGTGAAATAGTATTGTGGTGCCAGCTGCATAAATCTGTTTAAAACGAAACAATTAGATGGGGACAGGGTATGACAGATATCAAACCTTGTTGTCTGGGCCCTTCCCAACCCTAGGGAATCTACTTATAGAACTAGTATTTAATTTGAATTCTCCAGCTGGACACAGTAGTACATGCCTAGCAACTCGGAGAGAGAGAGAGAGAGAGAGGATCCCAAGTTTGAGATCAGCCTCTGTCACTTAGCAAGACCCTTTCTTTAAAAAAAGGCTGGGGATCCAGCTCAGTGGTATCGTGCACCTGGGTTCAATCCCCAGTACAAAAACAATAATAATTTGAACTCCCATCTGCCTTCGTAGAATACGTAGTTTCTGGTTTTCATGAAACCAATCCAATCCTATTTCTAGAATAAGTCAGCTTCTCTAGCATTAGGCCAGATGATGGAAGTACTGCTCACCATTGACCCCTGGTAGAAATAGGTATTTCCCCTAAGGCCCAGGACTACATGAGAGGGATCAGATCTGAAGCTTGACAGAACTTTGGACACTTATGCAAAATAATCTCCATTGCTGCTTTGAACATCACTTTGCTCAGGCAGTAGTGGTACCTTTACCTTCAAAACGGATCCAGAATTTGCAGTAGCCTCAGAGAGATTTGTCTTCATTCTTGATTGCCCCCCCCCCCCCCGCCCCAATCCATCATCCGTTTAGCAGCCATAGAGATGCTCTTGCTTAAAACTCCAATTGTTATGTGCTGCACTCAGGATAAAATCCAAACCATTTATCTGACCCACAAAGCCCTACACCTGTGGTACCTGCTTGTCTCTTCAACCTCACCATCCCTCCTTTCCCTACCCACTAGCTCCAGCCACTGTTTAGCTTCTGTTCCTAAAAGACAGCTATGCTCATTCTTCCTCAGTGAACAGTGCATTCTCCAGTAGCATTTTGTTCCTCTTAAAGATAACATTATGCTTTGTTTAATACTTCTTTGTTGTCTCTCTTTAAGCTGTGATCTCAAAAGCAGGAATGTTTCTTAGGTATCATCCACACAGCTGCCTGTGCTAGGTGCTCTCCAGAAAGTAAGAAAGTTACCAGTATAATTTTAGTATAACTGAAAATGAAATAAAACCCAAATTTGTCCTTTATCCCGACAGGTATGAATTCACAAGAATCCCCTTTCTTCTCCATTAAACTTACAGTTCAGGAGAGATTGCAGAGGTGACCCTGATGTAGTTGTTCTCAGATATGCTGAACTGATGGAAGAGGACCCACTCGGGCATCTTCTTGGTGATGGAGTAACCAGACAGGGGATGCAGCTGAGCTACCTGCTTGTGTGTCAGCATTAAGTAGTTACCTGACCCATCCACATCCCGAGCGATCTAAAAGGTGTGATTTAAAAAGATTTGGCATCAGTATGGAGACTAATACACAAAAATTTCAAAGTATGTAATATGGAATAGTTTAAGATTTAGCACTCATGTGTCCTGTTTTCATAGAGAAAATACCACATAAATATGTTTTGCCCAGAACTATTTTTTTTGAAGATTTTTTTTTTTAAGATGGACACAGTATCTTTATTTATTTTTATGTGGTGCTGAGGATAGAACCCAGTGTCTCACATGGTGCGAGGCAAGTGCTCTACCCTGAGCTATAACCCCAGATCCCTTGTCCAAAACTTTGAGACAGTGATGACGTTAGCTAACTTGGGCAACTTCAGGGCAGCATGCTTAAACTACAGCTGTGAGGTGAAAGTTCTGGTCATGAAGTAAAATGGCATGTCACCTGCCATATTATGGAGCACACAAAAGCAGATGTCAGAGGCTTCACCCTTGCTATGGAGCATATAACTATTTTTAAAATTAATTTATGTATTTTAATTAGGTTATATGATCATTTAACTCTTAACAGGACCCATAATATACTCCTTCCTTACAGATTAGGGAACCCATACTGAAATATCATTTTTCTTCATTAAGATGACATTAGAGTTTTATGGAAATACTAGTTTGTGAGGGGCATACCAACTTCTATAATGTGCTTTGATTAGTAAGCCTTCACTATGGGAAAAGAGCAAATAAGACACTACTTTTATTTGTTGGGCATTTGTATCACCACTGAAAAGGTGAGATGAGGGACTGTGCCTGATGTTCAGCTTCCCTCTGGAGTGAGAAAGACTTTGTTTGCCCTCCTGGACGAAGTTAACATTTTTCTTGCTTGGCCTTTTATTTCCTTATGAGGAAGTATATTTAAATGCCAAGTCTTAAATAACATGTACTTTTAGTATTATTTAAACTTCAGGTCAATAAAACCATCACCCAGTGTGAGAGACAACTGGCCAAAAACACGGAGCATTTGCTACAGCCCTGCCCACACGGCCCTGGCCTGCTGACCTGCATGAAGTAACCAGACAGCAGCGCTTTCTTGATGTTGAGATTGTTTTCCTTGGAGCCAAAAGCAGGTTCTGCATAGGGAAGCTCGATTCGCTTGATGATTTCTAAGAGTTCAGCTCTGATAACATCTGCCATCCTGAGAGCGGAGGAGTTGAGGAAGTGATCATGACACCACTTTTCCACACAGTCTAGGAGGGAAAAAGGAACAAAGGGGTATTTAGAAGTGATCTGTCCTAAGCTTGAAAGAGCCCAGGCCAGGCTGGTTCTGTCCCTTAGCCCTGTGTACTCTCCCAAGGAGAAGTTCATGTGAGTGGGTGGCAGGAAGACAGCAGAGACAAAGGTCTCTGGTGGCTGGGGAATTGGCTGTCAAGGTTCTGCAACCCAGTGCATTGGGGAAATAGCATGTTCCCAATGTTGATCAAAAGTGTAGTCCCCTTAATCCATGATGGTTGAGGCAGAGATTATGTTAAGATCTACAGGGGGGATGTGGCTCAAGTGGTAGCGCGCTCGCCTGGCATGCGTGCGGCCCGGGTTCGATCCTCAGCACCACGTACAAACAAAGATGTTGTGTCAGCCGAGAACTAAAAAATAAATATTAAAAAATTCTCTCTCTCTCTCTCTCTCTCTCCCCCCACTCTCTCTTTAAAAAAAAAAAAAAAAAAAAAAAAAAAAAAAAAAAGATCTACATTTCCATCTCGTGTGCACAGTAAGATGTACATGGCCACAATATTTAATCAAACTAGGAAGGAGAGACTTACAAGTTCCTCTGATGCATGCAGATATTTCATATTTTATTTAATAAGAAAAGGATTACTACCAGGCCGACTTGGGAGCTAATTATACTACAGTTAAGCTCATCTATCTACCATAGCTGCAACTTTTTATTAGAAGTCACTTACCTGGTTGACTTTGGTTACTCTTTAATGCCACTTCTAATTCTTCAAGCTTTGCCTCAAGCTGGGAGTGCACACGGCCTTGGCACAGAGGGCAGAAGGCCCTCATTTACTGTGTCCTTTCCACTTAAGCCTGCTTGCTGCAGTGAGAGCCCATATGTGGTCAGACACTGGCACCTGTCCTGGTTGTTCTCAAAAGATGCCACCAAATCCCCCAGTACTTTCTGGCTCCACTGACAACTTTCTTCTCAGCTCTGAGACACTAACTCTGATTATGTAGTTCTGTTGCCTTTCACTTCGCTGTCATCTCCCCCCATCATTTCACATAGTTTTCAAACCAGTTTTTGAAGCAAAGGAGGTAAAGATTCCTTATGGAAAACAGAGAGAAAAGCCCTCCTTCAGGAGAGGAGCATCTCACTGGCTGCCTTTGTGGGCTCCAACCTCTGTCATGCTGTTTTGCCCTCTGCCCGTCTTGCATAGGAGCTTCTGGTCACTTGGCATTAGTACCCTCCTGTGGAATTACTGTAACCACTGCCATTCAGGTCACAGGCTCCTGCCTCTGTGTCTGCACACACCCTTCTGCTTTGGGTGGCACCCTCCAGACAGATCCTTTCCAGCTCCCTCAGCACAGCAGCCTGGTCTCCACTCATGCCTTGAGCAGGGTTGGTTTTCAGTGCTCTGTGTCTTCTCCACGTGAAGAGTGAATGTGCTAGGCTATGCAAGAACATGGCACAGCTCTGACCTGGGGGGTGGGTACCTAGAGATGTTTGTTCCATGTTGTTGCAAGTCTCTGTGTCCCTCTGTCACTGTACCCCAAGCAAACTTTATCTGAAGACTGGCTGAGCAGAGTACCAAAGCTCTAAAAACAGGCAGGCATGTGTGGCAGCCCACCCGCACCCCATGGGATGAGAGCCCACCACTCAGCAGGAAACCACGGGTGTGCTGAGAGCCTCCAGCAGTGCTCCCCCAGTGGCCCGTGGGGCTAGAAGAGAACAGTTGTGGATAAACCACAGCACTTAAGAACTCAGACTTCTATGGGAAAAGATGGAATTAGGAAGTAGAAGCTGAGAGCCACCACCATCCACTTACGCTCACTGGTGGAGTTCAGAGAGGTGTCTTGGTAGGCCTTGTAAATGTTGATGAGGGTGAAGTGATCTCCTTCAGGGTGCAGAAATGTCTCCCAACAGGTCATGGCAGCCTCCTCAGCTCCATGAGGCAGATGTAAAAAGCAGCTAGGAGCTTTAAAACACAAGGATCACACGGTCAGCAGAAATGAGGACATTCCATCTTGGCACAGCATGCATAGGGGCAGGGTCACTATTGTTTATACAACTTCATCTGTCTTGGATCTCTCAATAAATATGTTATCTTGTTTACTTAGAAGTCAAAGAAATTTAGAGCCAGTCATCCTATAATTCTCTCTCCTCTTTGCTAAGGCCTGCATAATAGCTTTGACACCATGCTTATATTCCAAGGAAGCTGGGAAGCCCCATTGCAGGACAGGCTTAGTATTAAGGACTACGTTTTGCTGCAGCCCAGAGGCTGCACACACATACAAACACACACACACACGTATTTGGAAAATAACTTTTAGTGACACTTTATTGATCTGCGCAGAGCCCTTGAGCAAAAACAAATTTGGTATATTTTCACATGCTTGATTAAGAAATTAATTGGATTTTTATTTAGATTTTTCATACTAAGATCATTTTTAACAATTTTTCTTTCTTAATCTACTAAAATACTTCACTATTATTTCAAATGATTGGATCTCTGTCTCTGCTCTGTACTCCTGGAATTATAATTTCAAATGGATCATTTAAATCTATACCTGATACAGATTCACAGTACAAAAGAACAGCCATCAAGGAATACCTGTTACCATGGCAGCAATGGTTAGCATTTCATCTACACAGTCAAATTCACAGGATGCCAAAATAGACTTTGAGAGCTGTGGATCCAGAGGAAACTCTGACATGATGATTCCAAATTCAGAAAGATTCCCGTCATTATCCAGTGCTGCCAGATAATCTAAGTCTTCTAGTGCCTGCATCAAACTTTCTGGTGCTAGGAAAGAAAAAAAACAAAAACCCAAAGTCTCATACATCATAATAGGTACTGGATTTGCTCTCCTGCATAAAATAAAAAGTGAACGATGGGCAAGATAGGTAAAACAACAGGTAGCAGGATGCTGAACATCAGGCAACCATGGACAGTAATTCCTGAGTAAAAATTAACAAGGTGAGCTTGGTGGTAGTCCACATAATGCCTTGACAGTTTGCAGGGAGGGGAGCCCTGGTGGAGCATTGGCCATGGCCCACAGATTAAGAGTACCTGTGTACAGAGACAGGAATGGGGCTGAGAGTCCTCCCTGACCAGTCAGCAGAGTAAGGTCCACAGACATATGAGGCACTGCTTCAGGCCAGAGGGGGAGTCGTGAGAGAAGACTAGAAAGAATGGTGCCTGGTACCCACACAGAACTAGGCTGGGCCCTGTGTTCATGAGCCAGATCAGAAAATCTGATTCACAGGCACAGAATCATGAACCAGATGAGCACTGCTTTGGTGCTACCAGACAAATCTACCAAGCAAATCCTGAAAGGTTCACATTGCAAACTAGGGCAAAGCTCACAAATATTTGTAGGAATACAAAAATATTCAGTGCCCAAGATAAAATATACAATACCTCACATCCAATGAAAAAATATGCATAAAAACACTGCATAAAAAAAGAAAAAGGAAAAAAGAACTCAGATGATAGAAATAGTAGACAGGATGTTCAAAATTAATTGCCAGTGCAAATAAAGACAGAAAACTGACTTTCTCCATTCCTTTCTGTTTTAGATTTATATAACATTGAAAATGGTATGGTGTTTATTATACGTGTTTAATCTCCACCAAAAATCCATTGCATCAAAGCAATCTATTCTCTTTGTTCTTGTAGAATCATTATATTAAAATAAATACATGTGTTTTTTCACCTGTTTGGTACTTGGATAGCAGCAAAGTCCACACAAGGAAGCAAATCACACAATATAAAGCTGCTGTTCCAGAAACTGAAGAATTTATGAGAGGTGCTGGATTCCAGCTTTCATTGGTCTCAATCCCAGTATGTGCAGGGTATTGGGAGACGAAGACTGGGGCCCTGAGAAGCAATTTAACCTGTCTGCATTTGGGAATTCAAAGTAACAGATAGTAAAAATGTACTTACTTGCTGCCCAAACTTTGACCATTAAGCTATTTATCAGAATTTTAGGCAAACTGAGTAATTCAAAACCTAGTCCAGGCTCTGAGCTGAGCAGACCCCACCACTGACAGACCAACAGCAAAGCTGTGGAAACCACTAGTGTGGTCTGAGCAACAACAATAACACTGTGCTGCAGCTCACCGCACCTTTGGCCCTGCTGGAGGAGAGCAGAGCCACCAACAGAGAAGATTTCAACCTCTGATAAACTAGTTGGAGCAAGATATCAGTGCTGGGAAAGCAAGGGAAGGGCCAGAGGGCAGTAGGAAACCACCTGACACCAGCAGGAGGACCAAAGCACAGCTTGAACCCCCACCTGGGAAGAAAGATGCTAAATATTCCTATTCTGATTTTCACATCAGAATTTTAAACTGAGCAGAAATCATGGCTTCTCAAGAACATTACATCATGGATTTGGCTGCCCTCCTGCCTGGGTGCTGACATGGAACACTACTTCATAATCTTGGGGGCCCTTGGACTAACCAAATTGGTAAAGAAGACACCTTGAAAGGCTGCAACTCTGGGAAGGAACAGTCGAGCTACTCAGAAAAAAAGTTCAGGAGGCCTGTAGGGAGCCAAGGGAGACATGAAAGGGAAGAGCTGAACTATTAGAGAAGATGCAAGAACAGGTACAGGAATTAGCAACTTAGATTGAACAGAGGGAGGGGGCTGGGAGTACAAAGTTAATCACTGAAACAAATTTCTATAGATTAGCAAAACGGCTGCACTCTTAAGTTACAGGATCTTTGGCAATTGTTCCTATAAGATTCTGGCTTGACAACCAGGCTCTGTCCCCACTATTCATATTTATTCCCTGGAGTTGAGTTGGCTGCATACAGAGTTAGGAACAGAAATGACTTCATGATTCTGCTCCTGTTCCTAATGACAGAGAGGATATTTATGTTTTTGTTTTTTTTTTTCCATTTCAGAAAGAATGAGTTAATGCAGACTAGAAGGAACCCTAATAGATACCTGAGCAGGATTTGCTAATATTACATTCTATATTTTAAGACATCTGGCCATTGTGGCCCATGAAACTATATTAGCTAAAAAGCAGAAGGGTTTAGAGGAGTTGCTGTATGACAGTAGTCCACAGTAGGTAATGGATTATAAAATAGGCAGCATGCCTCCTCTTCTTCATGGCAGTACAGAAGCAGACTCGTATTCCAAAGGCAACGTCAAACAAAACATGGTCTTCATTCAGCTATCTTGGCAACAGCAGCTGATTGCCTGAGGTAAAGCTCACTGCAAGGTCAGGGGCCTTGTCAGCTGCCATCCCTCACAGGAACTTGAAGGGCTATCTATCATCACAGCATTTCTTTGCTGTTCCGTGTGTCCTTTCTTCACAGAATCCCCAATGCCACCCTTCAACACACTTCTGCATTTTTCTTCCAGGGCATCAGCAGAAAGGCTGCAACAAGGCTGAAGCTCACCAGCAGCTGAGGGGCTGAGGCAGGGCTATCCTGGAGCAAAAGCACAGGACAAGTAAGGGGTCCCAGGGCTGCACTGTCACAGCCTCACACAGCAGATTTCCTGTGTTCTTGAAACACATGCCAAAATTTTAGGTGTGAAAAGGGAAGGATCCCAGTCAGGGCTCCTCCCTTTGCAGGGGCATCTGTGCCCTCAGGGGCTCAGCAGGACTCCTCCAGCTAGGTCACCTTTGCTATGACAATCTCTTCTACCCTCACTTGCCAAAATGACTCAGAAACTTTCAGTTCCTTTCAAGGTAGCTGATACTATGCAAATTTATGTCAGTAACTTTATAAATGTAAATGCTTTAGTCTACTATTATTTGTGGGAATATACTTGGCAGGGCACCACGCTTTCTCTTGTCTGGAGTGGGCAAGCATTTCCAGCCATAGGGCAAGGAGTCTCTTGGTTAGTAGTCCCCAAAGACATAGCTGTCCCTCTTTTTTGGCCATCTTCCTTAGCCTCCTTTTTACTAGCAAGGGCAGAAAATTAAGGCTCAATCTGTCATTAGAGATGGAGAGGGTTTTATGGGTAACGTGGCCTCCAATGGTAAACTGGAGAGAAACATTTTCTACACCCTGATTCTCAGAGCCAGAATTCTTTTGTGTCCAGCCCTGGCCCTAATGGCAGTGTCCAGTTAGGCCAAACTTAGCTGTGCCCTGGGAACCCTCAGGTGCCAGCTTTGCTCCTGCCCATGGCATGGAAGAAAACATAAGCAGACAATAGACAGTCATGGGCAACTCCCAGAATTTTCTTTCTCTGCAAGCCACATCACCAACCAGCCCAGGCCTCAGAAAGGACCACGCAGGCAAGAAAGATGCTTAGTTCATCTCCCACACGTGTCTGCCTTTATTGGTGTTCTTGGGGGAACTACCAGCCTTCCAAAGGGCACACTTCTGTCATTGTTCCTTAAGAACAGGGCACTATGAATGCCGCCACTTCAAAAATTACAAGTGGCTCCACCCCCAGTAATGGATATGATAGCTGTCCCCTCTTCTAGGAACTGCACTTCCACTGCCCGTCCCATACAAGGTGAAGCCACTGTGCATAAATGTCTCCTCCGTGCCTCTCAAAAACCCCATGATGCAGGTGGGAGACGTTTCACTTTCAGTTTATAGCTGAGGCAAAGGTAAGTGACTTGCCAAAGCCACGTGGCCAGCCAGCTATTTCCTTACTTGTGAAATGAGGACTTCATGTGAGGTTTCACCGGGAGCTGGCAAAGCTGCTACTGGACCCTAGTAGGCCCCAGGGCCCACGTGCTTGCTGTCATCCACCACAACTGTCCCTGGGCAGCCTCAGAGGTGATCTGGTGACATCTAAGACCCATGGCTCACTATCTGTTTTCCACAGCCATGAAAATTGCCCTTCTGTAGCTCAGGGCCTACTGGCCTTGCACTTCAAAGCTCAGAGGGGAGTCACTATATGCCAGTCACTTTTCTAAGGGGCCTACATATGTTAATTAATTTAAACTCTGTGAACCAATTACTTTGATTATCCTCATATTAAATTACGTCCACTCTGTGCCTTTTAAAATCCCTGCCAGATTGTGTTTTTACTTTCTGTAACATTTCTCAACTGATTGCTTCTAAGATGCTCCCAAACACTGGCTCTCAGAAACTATGTTAGTGCATACTTGCCTCTTTTTCACACACACAACCCAGCTGAGTATGGCAATAAGTTCTGTTTGGCCTTTAAACAGATGATAGTATTTAACTTAAAAACCCAGGCGTGGTCTCATCAGTACAGTGGTGGAGTATCTGCTTAACTCTAGGCTGTGGGTGGTGACATGCAGGTGTCCTGCCTGCAGTCAGGAACTGCTGCAGCAAGGCTGTGGGCGAGGGCCACAGTGGAGCCTGTGTTCTCCCATTCTCCTCCACGTAGACTGTACAATTTTAAAACCGCTCTAAGTTTCAAAGCAAATCCCCAAGTTTCTAGAGATTTGTAAACATGCACATACAGCTCTCTAGTGTACTACAGATGGCTTTTAGCATGACAAATGTGATTCCAGAAAGTCGTGGTTAACTGATCTATGAGTCCTCTGGTGGAAAATCTGCACCTTGCCCACAGAGGAAGCCCCTGCAGATCTTCCCTCCCTCTCCCCACCTGCGCCAGCTCAGGCCCCTGCAGCCCCAGCCTCCGTCTGCCTGTGCTTTCCCATTTTCAGGAGGCCTGGTCTTGTCTTACATGCCTAGCAGTTTATGTTAGGTTCATTTTTCTTTACAAATCCAAGGAATCAGGTTCCAAAGCCAGTTGTCAGGCCACCACCAAAAATTCTGAGTCTGATTACAAAGACAATATCTGGTGTAATCTGATACATTTTGGCCCCTTTTCTCTGCAAATTCCTGACCAGGTAT